CCTGCTTTGTCTTCAGCATTCGTGTCAGGAAGATGAGCATCATGGAATGAAAATGAAAAACTTTTTATTGTGCTTTGCCTGCAAGTTTAAAGTATAGCCAAGGAGTTTAGGCTTTCTCCTGAAGTCAGTGGTAACCTGCAGAAGAGTTTCAAATGGGGAATGATGCCGTCAGGACTCCCTTTGAGCCATCATGACTCTTGGTATGGAGGACAACAAAGTAGAAAGATTAATTGAAAGGCTGTTGCCCAAATCCTTCGAGATGAGTCACTGGGCCAGGAGGCTCAGGACCGTTGTGGCAGGGACAGCAGTTTGCTTGGCATGCTGCAGTCCACAAAGACTGTGCTACATCCTACTTTGGTGAGTGGTGACTGGGGCCCTAAGATCTCATGAGCATGCACTATTGGTCTCTCCCCATCTGGAAGAAACAAGAGTGAAAAACAGCAAAGACACGTGGACACCATTAGGCCGATGGACCAATGCACCATGCAAACTCTGGCCTAAGATTCTGAGATGAGAACTAGATGGTGACTCACTGCCATTGCTGACTTCCCTGACAGGAATTGCTTTAAAAGTCCTGGATAAAGTGGAAGAAAATGCAGGATAAAATCAAAATAAGAAAAAAATGCCAAGTCTACTGGTCTGATAAAGACTAGTGGAATTTAGAAGAATATAACCTTAGACACCTTTCAGAAAGCACACACACACACACACACACACACACACACACACACACACACCAGCTCAACTTTCAGCCAAGCAATAGGCAGGCTGCTAAGGGGGGAAATAATAGCACAGGAGATCAGAAGGGCAGCATTTACTCAGGAATAAAGCTCAGAAGGCAGGGGGTGGGGCACAAAAATAGAAGAAATGGGAAGACTGTTTTCACCCTCCAGGGATTGCAATTAGTGTTACAACGCTACATGTGCTTTCATTTGTGGCTACAAAACAGTGTGGGTCATAATATGTAGGCCTTCAAATGCATCCACAAAAATTAGAGATAACACTGTGAAGAATGGGAATTCCGGAACACGTCATCATGCTCATGTGGAACCTGTATGTGGATCAAGAGGCAATCACTAAACTAGAACAAAGGAATACTGTGCGGCGAACATCTGGATGAAGGTCGGTGCTGTGAATCGGAATCCAGGCAGTGGCTTTCAGTTGGCTTTTGTGGTCTGTGCCACTGACGCAGCCTGGACTGCTGCGAGGGAAGAGGGCCTGAAGTACTTACTGATAAGGGTCAAAGACTACCATGTGGGTTAAACTTTAAGATACATCAAAACACCTCACCGCGGGACCTATAAGCAACATTAATGATAATCAGGGAAATCTTGACGTTGTCAAGGGTTTTATTTTACTTGGATTACATGGATACTCATGGAAGCAGTAACCAAGCTGTCAAAGGATTGGGCAAATCAGCAACCGACCTCTTTGAAATGTTCAAAAGCAAAGATGTTACCTTGAGGACTGAGGTGCGCCTGACAAGATTAACGGTATTCCCAGTCGACTCATAGACATGTAGAATATGAACATGAATAAAGAGGATTGATGTTGCTGAAGAATATCTTTTAATTGTTTTATTAGGGGCTCATACAACTCTTATCACAATCCATATATACATCAATTGTGTAAAGTGCATTTGTACATTCATTGCCCTCATCATTCTCAAAACATTTCCTCTCCACTTAAGCCCCTGGCATCAGTTCCTCATTTTTCCTCTCCCTCCCCGCTCCCACCTCCCTCATGAACCCTTGATAATTTATAAATTATTTTGTCATATCTTGCACTGTCCGACGTCTCCCTTCACCCACTTTTCTGTTGTCCGTTCCCCAGGGAAGAGGTCACATGTAGATCCTTGTAATTGGTTCCCCCTTTCCAACCCATCCTCCCTCTACCCTCCCAGTATCTCCACTCACACCACTGGTCCTGAAGAGATCATCTGCCCTGGATTCCCTGTGTTTCCAGTTCCTATCTGTACCAGTGTACATCCTCTGGTCTAGCCAGACCTGCAAGATAGAATTGGGATCATGATAGTAGGGGGAAAGAAAGCATTTAGGAACTAGAGGAAAGTTTGTATATTTCATTGCTGCTACATCACACCCTGACTGGCTCGTCTCCTCCCCAAGACCCTTCTGTAAGGGGATCTCCAGTGGCCTACAAATGGGCTATGGGGCTCCACTCTGCTCTCCCCTCATCTTTCACTATGGTAAGATTTTTTGTTCCAATGATGCCTGATACCTGATCCCTTCGACACCTCGTAATCAGTTACTGAAGAACATTGAACATCCCACAGACTCTCAGAAGAAAGGGCAAATCTATACTGGAAGTGGTGCAGTCAGAATGCTCCTCAGCAGTAAGAATAGCAAACCTTGGTCTCACTTATTGTATGCAAGTGATCAGGAGCAACCGTGGGCGGAGAAGGACACCATCCTTAGTCAAGCAGAGGGTCAGCAAAAAGAGGAAGGCCCCCAGTGAGATGGATTGACGCAGGGGCTGCAACAACGGGCGCAAACATGACAATGACCACAGAGCTGGAGCAGCCAGGTGGTGTTTGATTCGGTTGCAGAGAGGATCACTGAGTCCCAAGCAATCGAATAGCACCAGAACAGCAGAAGGGAGGGGGGCACCTAGTTATTGCTTCTTTAGCTTTTGGTTGGTTTGTTACTTGTGTTTTGTAGACAAGGGGATTGGGCACTTAATAAGCACTCGTTGAATCAAACTCAACTATTTGAGGACTTGCTATTTACCTATTTATTGTTTACCATAAAAGGAATTATGCACTTAGGAGAACAAGGGACTCAGTATGCATTGCAGGATGGGCCCGTTTTAACAAACGCTGGGCTTAGAGAGAAGTACGTCTGTGTAAAACTAGCATGGTGGGAATATCTGACCTATAACTTCAGGAATGGGACGAGAAAGTCAACATCAATCCATGGCTGATTTCTATGAGGCCAAGATCAGACATGCCTCGTCTCTCCAACCTTTTTATCAATTCTGACTCTAGCCATCTGTCCCACAGCACTTTCGACTTCTCTACTGAGTTCAAGAATTCAGTGTACTGGCCACACAACTCACAGATCACACTCATGATTATGGGGGTTCTAGAGAAATAACTCACTGGTGACAATTCCAGATCAGGAGAAACTCAGGTGCAATTCTTTGGTTAGGACAGCTCCTCAGTTATGCCCATAGGTAGGCCTCTCCTTTGGCCCCTGGGGGACCTGCTGGCTGGCCTCTGCCCTGCTCAGACAAGTATTACAAAGCTGGTTAGCTTGTTAAGCACCCAGAGGCACCCCACTGCCCCCAGTCTCACTCAGGTCTCTTGCTACAAGGGTTGAGAGCTTTACTGTAATCATTGTGCTCCTAGGGCTGGAGACCCCCTGTACCAGCTTGCACTGGACTCCTGTGTTGCCTAGGTCATTGTTCTGCCACTGCTGGCCACTGTCTTGTGCCATCCCCAGTGTTACAGCTTTCTGTCTGTTGGATCTAACAAGTTCTCAATTCAGCTATCCCAGATCCAAAGGACAGTCTCTAAGCCAGGTTTTCCTTCTTGGTAGTAGCGAGGCCCTGCCCTGGACTGTCTCCTGGAAGCTCATTTTAAGCCTAGCAAAACTGACCAAGCCCCTTGCTACATTATTTGCATGGCTCCACCCCCACAAGGCTTCCATGCAGCTTCTTGGCATTATTAGCAAGCTAGTCGGTCCCCACGGTGAATGAGAAACACTTCCTTGTCGTAGTTTGACCCAGTCATTTGGTGTGCGTTACCAGACCATGATGAGAAAAGTCATGTAAATATGGCCCATTGTACGGAAGTTTCATGTTTTCGTGTGTGTCTTGCAAATCAACGGTCTAGCAACATTAGCAGCCCAAAGCTTAGGAAGGCAAGAATGTGAATGAAGTCAGTGTGTGTTCTACTTTGGCGTGCTTCAGAATATTTGGTTTTTAGCAGCAAGAACCAGCGGTAGGTTTTCCCACAGTTGATTCCTAAATGAAGCCCCTTCCCTTGGCTAAACTATCCACACACAAGTGTTCACAGCAATGAAATCCTTTCTCCTCCTTTGACAGTTTTGATGTGGACAATGGCACATCTGCGGGACGGAGTCCCTTGGATCCCATGACCAGCCCGGGATCTGGGCTAATTCTCCAAGCAAACTTTGTCCACAGTCAGCGTCGGGAGTCCTTCCTGTATCGGTCCGACAGTGATTATGATCTCTCTCCCAAGTCCATGTCGAGGAACTCCTCCATTGCCAGTGACATGTGAGTATGAGTGGGCCCCCAAATAAAACTAGGGAAAGGGGGGGGGGTATAGAAAATTGACTCAATATATCTAAAGACTTGATGGTCTAATCAGATCAGTGACCGCTGTTGGGCCGTGTCCCCCTCCTCTACCACAGAAAAGGACGTGCAGAAAATTATACGAGCTGAAAACTAATGGTGGGTGATATCACACGAATCCCCTGTCACTCTGAATAAGAAACATTTGTATTCCAAAAAAAGCCATTCTCTGGGCAGAGTGTCGATTAAAATTTCCATGCTAATGATTATATGTAAATGATTTGTTTATGTCTCACCTGGATTTTAGCTACCCAGACACATGGACATAGTCTATGTATTTCCAAAAACATTAAACTCATTTAGGAATGTCTCTAAGATATGAGAGGGTATTGCATTTTGGAGCTCTCTCAATTGATGTAGCTATAGAGCTTAGCACTGGTTTCCCGATTGTCTTAGGAGTTGTGGTTGAATTTGATCCAGAGTAAACCATTTTGTGAATATGCATTGATAGAGGCAAGCGAAGAACATGTTAATTAGGCAGACTGAAATATCACTGAAGACATGAGTCTTAAGACATTGAAACTAATGAATCTGACAACCAGGTCTCCAGATCATATATCTCCATGAGCTCATTCTTCCAACACATTCCTCCCGTTGTTTGATTTGGGGTTTTCTGCTGCAGAGTTCATGTGTTCAGGAGGCTTCTAAATATTAGCTCAATGCCACTTCATACCTGCATTACCTTTTAATAAAGTTCACACCCCACTTTACTTCTCTGGATCAAGACAACTGTCCAATAACTAGCAGCATCTGACCTTTTCCAAAAAAATTAATGCAATTCATTGCGTCTAGCAATGATGCTACATCATGCCTAGAGTGCCGTGTTGTCCTGGTGGTCATCCATCCTCAGGAGCTCTAAACGGCGCTCTAGAAATGAAGTGCTGCTTCCACCCATTTCTGCAGCGTGTGGTTCTTGTTGGCCTCTTATTAACAGCGGGAACACGATAGTGCTGTGCATGCTCCAGTCTCCAGAGGCAAGAGCACTACATTCTAATCAGTTTGATTCAGAAGCTGAGTTTCAAAAGTCCCATTGTGTAGAGTTGCCCTCTTTTTTGAAGCACAGCAGGAAATGTAAAAGGAATATTAGATTTTGTATCTCAAATAAGCAATAATCGTATAGCGTTACAAGTCTTACATCAATTAATTGTGGGGAAAGCTTGTATTTGAACACGTCATGCTGACCTTTAGACCTCCAGGTGAAAGCATATTCCGTCTATCATTAATTATGCACAAGTCTCTTCCACCTTTCAAAAATACTTAATTGAGCCATTTGTTATGCCTGCTTTTTCGGCCATGACATTTCAGCAGCAAAGTATTCTCTTTCCCATACTCCCATCCCAGTTGTCTACATCTGAACGTACTCTATTGCCTTCAGAACCTGAAACCTAGCTTCCCTTCGCCTTAACCTCCGAAAGGCCCTTTAATTTGTTCTAGAGGAGAAAAACAACCCTACATTCTGTGAATATAATTTACAGAAACACATTTTTTTAAGTTCTATTGGGACATAGCCCACATATCATAATAATCAGTAGTTTAATTATGTCAAGAAGAGTATACAGTCATTACCACAGTTTTGGGATATCCTCTCCAATCTTGTTCTCATCTTTATTAGCTCCCTATTTCCTCCCAACCTCTCCCGCCACACCCAAACGAACCATGAATCCCGTTGCTGTCTCTATAGATCCACCCATCCTGGATCTCATATACCGAAAAGCATACAAAACTAAAGAAACAAAAAAAACTATCGATAACAAAATGAAACAGAGAAAAGCCTCAGTCGAAAAGAAAGCAGGAAACATTGAAAACTACAATAACTTTAAAATGAGTCAAAATCAAATGATAAGGTGTTAAATGCTAGCGTAACTACATATGCCATGATAAACCTTCAGTTGCACTCTGCATGATAGCAAGAGTAGTCACATCCCTGGTCTACATTCACAAAGGATTCCCCCGAGACTCCCCCGCCCCCCCCAGACTTAACCCACTTGTGTTTCCTCTTCACTCTTTGTTTTTTAAACTGATGTAACATTAAAGTGAGTCCAAAGGAAATCAAATAGGATGATACATTTTAACTTAACTCTGGCTCTACAATACTCTCTGTCTGAAAACAAAGCGCTCACACCCCTGGACTGTGGTCAGAGGAGACTCACCAGAGGTTTCACCTTGGTGGGGACCCTGCAAATGGATTTTGGGTTTCCACTGTCATCCAGAGCCGTCTGCACACCAGCTGTTCACACTTTCAGCTCTGGTACCTTTAACTCCTTCAGATTTGGATTCTGTTATTACAACCCTTGGATCACACATGCTGGTGTGCTTCTTCAATGTGAACTGAGTTGACGCCTCCCATAGATGGCTGCTTGTTTGAAGAGGAGCCTTTAAGACCCCAGGTGATAGTCTTTCTGCTAGCTGGACACCATCTAGTTTCTTCAACATACTTTGCACCTATAACTTCATTGATCTGAAGATCACTGAGAGCAAGTAGCAAGCAGGGCCATGTTCTTAACTTCTTAATATTCTTAGATTGGGGCTAGAATTAAGTGCAAGGCCAAGAGCCGTTAGTATATCTATGGTTTCCATGTGCCTCTGGTTCACCTTCGAGACCTCATTGTCATGTTGTGTTAGAGGACATTATAAATCATCTCCCTGGGCAATAAGTTATTTTTACTGATAATGTCATTAATTTATCCAACGGTAGAGAATTGAAAACCTAGTTGAAAAAAGATTAAGATATTATACAAGCATAGGCTGGCTATAAACCACAATGCATGAATTATTACCTCGTGCAGATTACACCCTCAAGTGACTACACACTCTGACATCTGGAAGCTACGGGGGTTTGTAGCTGGGCTTGGCCCAATCACATTGGTGAGCGTATTACATTCTGATGATTTTATGATTGACTGACTACATCAAGGCACAATTCGTGGAAGTTGTGTTTTGTAGTTCATCATGGAAGAGTTTACGACATTGGAAGGATTTTATTATGGAATAATTACAAGGTGGAGCACTTAGAAGAAGGAATACCTTGGAGACGTTTGTGAAACAAAGCAGTCTAAGTAGGATGAAAAGCCTAGACCAAGTGTTACTTTGTTTTCCCAAGAGTTCCATTTTGCAAATTTGTACTGGAGACAAATTGTACATAGAGACAAAGAGCAGACATTGCATTACAGAGCACCGGGAGAAATCGAAGAGCCCGGTATTTGCGCTACATAGTAGCCCTTGAGTGACAACCGGATGAAGAGTCTTCGTGAAGCGATGCGATGAAAAAAGCGCAGGGTACGGAACGAAGTAGATATCAGCCAATACAGTCGGTAGAACGGTGATAAGGAGCTTGTGGAAGAGGGGTTGCTTGGGGGAGCATCTGGTCAAAGGGAAAGTTGCTAAGTTGGGGGGAAACTTGAGCGAAGGGAAACCAGAAGGAAGAAGCTGAAAATTCAAGGAGGAAAAAACGGGAAAGATGGAAATGCAGTTGTTTTCAAAGATGAAACCATGCCTTCAAGTGAAGGGGCTATCCTTGCAAACATATTAGAGGCCCAAATGCATATTTTCAGAATAAGAACAGCTAATTTGAAGGGAAGTATAAAGGTTTAAACAGAAGGGGACAATGTTTAGAGAATCCATGTAATGAGCCCTACTTTCTGATTCAAGTGGGTGGTATCAACATCAGCAAGTAAAGGAGGCAGGGATGCGGGGACAGTCTGAAAAGATAAGAACAGTTATACAGATTTTCTAAAGGCAAAAGAGAAGTCAGTAGAAGATGACTGAACAGAGATGGAAATCATGTAGAAAGGAGGAATACTGTTGTCATTAGCTCTCTTTGGGTCAGGACCGACCCATGATGCCTCCAGGAATCACAGACAGAAAGCCTGTCGGTGGGCTCCCACGCTTCCTGGGTCAAACAGGTATGACCCACAGTGTTTTCACTGGCTGATTTTTCCGAAGTTGAGTGCCGGGACTTCCCTCTTGTTCTTGGGAGTCTGAGCACTCTCCTAAAAGCTGTCCAGCATAATAGAAACCACAAACCACCACTAACGCAGAGGAGATGACTCGGGTAAGGTGCATTAGCTAAGAATCCAGCCCAGGTGATGGTAGATGAAGAGTAATCTAGTCCATCTTTAGCAAAGATGGATCAACTCGGCTTTGATAGAGGGCAGGGACACAGTCATGGTAGATGAGTGGACTCTGTTTCATATAGTTGCATTCAAAAACAGTGTCATTTTGAGGACTAAGGGGCACCTGACCAAAGCCAGGATATGTTTTAGTCACCCTGTATGCATTTTGAAGCTGGACAATGAAGGAGGAAGACTTGTTAGGCTGTTTGATTTAGAGAAACAAAATCAATGTCAGATAGATAGATAATATATTTATAAATACATAATATCTATTTCTATTATATTTCTGTATCTACTTATATTATATTTCTATATATGCATATATATATGAAAGAACTTTATATAAAGAACTAATCTTTTACCGAAAGTCATCCCAGACCAGCGTCCACTGCTAGCCAGAGCGCCCTAAGGCTCACATCACTGGAGACTGATGTCACAGAAAGGCAAAGTGGGGTGCAGGAGGCTCACGGGACCGCAGGTGCAAAGTTGCATGAATCCAAGGCTAGTGGAAACATTCGGGGTGCTGACAGCTCACAGGGTCACACCGCACACAGAGTCCCAGCAAGCAGGAAGGTGAAGGGCAGAGAGAGGAAGCGATAGATCGTGCGTCCTCATCCCACAGAGAATGACACATTTACCCGGACCGTGATGCAAGAGGTCGGGGTGTGGGGACAGTCTGAAAAGATCAGGACTGTTATAAAAAGTTTCCAAAGAGAAGTCAGTAGAAGATGACGGAATAGCTCAGCGTTGCACATCATCGAAAAATGACAGGTTGTGCTTTCCCCTCCCCCCCCTCCCCGTGGAGCTCTA